TATTTACAAATGTAATCTAGTATTTACAAATTTCTACAGTTAAGAATGTTGATATACTATCAAATCATAAAAATACACTTTTATGTGAACTTCTAGAAGAAAACGTGACAGGTGAATTTTCTATTACAAGTGTCGTTCCAGTAAACAATAAAATAATATTATTAGAAACCGATTTGGAAGAAAATGCTAATGTCACATCTATTAATCAAAATATTGAGCCACAAGTTGGACAAATAATAATATTAGAGAATAATCGTCAAGAATTTGGATTATCAGAATGTTTAAATGAACATATCATATTACTAGATAATAGATCACTAGATGAACATATCATATCACTAGATAATAGATCATTAGATACAAAGTCATTGGATGATGCATGTTTAAATAATGGCTTATTGTACAATGCACCACATTCATTACCTGAAGAGAATAAGGTCTCAGATATTTTGATTTGTTCAAATAAGTTTGAATCTGCTATTAAGAACTTACCCATAGAAATAATTGATGATACAATTATTGTTAAAAAAGAAGTTCATAATTCTTGTTTAAATGTTGATAATGAAAGCAGTCAAGCAAGTATGTATAAAAATTCTTAAAGGTGTTTATACTGTAATTGTTAATTTTTAAATGAAACTAATTATGTGAATATCAAAGTAGCTAGTCAGCGTCATGTTTTGAAAGAAAATCAACAACAAAAGGAAGTTATCGATCACATCAACTTTATCAGTAATAAAGACACAAATATTGAAGCAAACAAGGAGAATAGTCAAATATTGACGAGTCAANAAGGTTAGTCAATCAAACTTTAAAAAGATGGTCCATCATCATATAATATTAATAATATATACTTTAAGTATTAACATATAATGTTTTAATTTATAGATACTAATAATAACAAATCTATTAAAAGCTTTTCAAAAGCGCATTTACACTTCCAACAAAATATTTACCTAAAAAAAAAAGGATTAAACTTGAAGCGACAAGTAAACCTAAACTGCAATCGGTTGAGACTTCGGACGAATGGTGGAAAATTCAAATTGAAAAAAAAGAAAACCAGAGAATCAAAGAAGAAAAGATTGCACAGAAAAAATTGTTACAAAAAGAAAAGAAACAATTAGCAGAAGAAAAGAAAAAGCTACAAGAAAAAATGAAAGAAATCCAACAAAAAATTAAAAAAGAACTAAGTTAATCTC